ACGTCGGGCTGGTGCGTGTGCTCGTGGAACCTGCGCACCACAGTGAGCTCCAGGAAGGCCAGCGCCAGCGAGCGGCAGCAGTAAACCTGCAAGGAAGGCGCCATTGCAGGTGAGCCCGGCTGGGGCCTCCCGGGCCCGCCAGCCACGTCACAGCGGCCACCCTGGAGCTGTGTGGAGAGACCGCACAGATCACAGCCGCTGGACCCCGTGGCCCGGCTGTCTCACAGCACGGCTCCTGCAGCCGGCTTCCCAGGACACAAGGACCCGGGACAGTCTGCCCAGAGTGAGGCCCTGGACGTGCCCACCGAGGCCTGGGGGAGGGCGATCATGACTGAGCAGCGGTGCGACCTCACCTGAGCCCCCACCTGTGGCTCCGTAGGTCGGGACCCGGCTGTACCCCGGCCCTCTAGGAGTCTGAGGTCCGTGCAACCCAAGGGCCCCCTCAGTCACCCCAGCTCAGGCCAGTGGACGGCACCAGCGGGCACTTCAAACATGAGGCCCTGTCTCTTCCACAGCCCAGCAGGGGGCACCATCCCCACAGCGGACCAGGCAACGGCCCGCGGGCCCGGACTGGAGGGTTGGCCCCTCCCTGGGGCCCGGCAGCACAGGTGTTAGGGTGAGAGATAAACGAAGCCGTTTGGAAGACACACACACCTGGGAGTTATTTCTCGCTTCAAAGTCACTGCTTCCGGACCGCGTCTCCTGAGTCAGTTTCTGGTGACTCTCTCGGAGCAGGTAACAGACCAGCCACTCGAACGCCGCCAGGGGGACTTGGGATGGAAACGGGAAAACGTGACCACAGGGCTCCCAGCAGGTGTGAGCACCTGGCATGTACTGACGGGTGGGTGAGATGGGCCCAGTATACAAACAGGGAAACTGAGGCACAGGGCGGGGGCTGTCCCAGGGCCCCCCAGGTGAGGGTGCTTCCTGGCTCTGCTGAGAAGCCATCCCCCTCCACACTATCCTGGCAGCACCCTCCAGTGGCTGCCTCTCTGTGCCGGCTATGCTGCGGCCGGTGTCACGCGCCCGGTGTGGATGGAAGGGGGCGCGCGCCCCCAGCCTCACGGGCACTGGCCGGGACAGCGGGACAACTCCCGGCACAGGGTGGGCTGCGGCTGACGTTCCACCCGGCGCTTCCTGCCGACCAGGCGCGTTCCAGAACCCGGGACCCTCCGAGCACCTGCCCACGAAACATCACTCCCTCCACGGAGGACCCGGCGGGGAGCACGTGGGAGGTGTGGCCGGCCACGTGGCTCCGAGTCTTTGCAAACAGTTGAGGGTCTCGTCCTGGATTGGGGGGCGCTGTGCCCACAGAGAGTGTCCTTCCACAGGGACGGCCGAGGAGGCAGCCACAGGGCGGCAGCCAGGTGGCGATGGAGGCCGACCGGCCCAATGCGGCCACGAGCCCCGAACTCCGGGAGCCACCGAAGACAAGAGACAAGGGGGACCTGCCCGAACCTCCAAGTGGCCCCACCCAGGCCTGGCCAGGGCTTCCTGTCCTCACACTGTTTGTGGGGCTTTGTCACAGCCGCCTAGGACACTGACACCACGGGCGGCCCAGGGCACACGCCGGAGCCTTCAGCTGCCCTGCAGGACGACCCCGAAAACCTCGGCAACGCTGGACACCCACACAGACACGACGGAGCCCACGTGACAGATGCCTGTGCGGGGTCCGCGGCTCTGCCGCTGCCTGAGCCTCCCCAGCTGAGGCGACAGACCGTCACCAACTCCTCCTCCATCTCTTTACGTGGCCACGGGTGGGGGGGGCACGCCCACCAGCCAGGCCCCGAGGGCCCCATCTGCAGTTTGCTGTGATGTGAACAGAGCCAGCTTGATCCAGGAGCTGTGGCAACGGCCTTTGCTGGGAACTCCGCTCTTAGCTGCCAGTTTTGTAGAAGAAAGCACCTCACGCTGTCTCGGGGTGTCCACGTGGAAGGAAGAGACCCCGCGAACATGCGAGCGCGAGGGTCCTGGAATTCTTGGGGGGTGAGCCGTCATCACAGCCAGCTCCTCGGGGGGCCGCGCAGGCTCAGGGCCTTCCGTGGTCACGGATGCCCTCCGGGCCCCACCCCCCGTCCCCTCTGCACCCCCACACTCTCCTCACCGTGCCGGGGCGTCCCCACTCCAACATGGCCCCGCCCTCCCATACATACCCACTCTTAAACCCCCCACTGTCACCGTCCCCTCCACTCACTCCAGGGCCTGCCGCTCCACTGGCCTCAGTCCAGCTGCTGAGCACACCCGCTGGGAACATGACTCATCCTGTGACCCCTGAACTCCCAGTGTCACCCAAAGCGCCCCTCTCGCTCGGCCACCTTCGGGCCACCTCCCCGTCCCCAGCCTGCCCTTCTCCCCACGCTGCTCTGCCTGGCACCAGCTTCCTGCTGCCCTCCCGAGGCAGGCGGGCTCTGACCCAGGGGCCCGTGGACAGCCA